TGGAAAATAATGTGTTTTTTTAACCTTAAACCGCATAAACACATTTCATTACACCAAATACACAAAATAATGTTCTTTTTAGCAACATCATATGACCCCTTTAAGACTTTCAGTTTTATGGACGTCGCCATCTTTGATTTTACTTTGGTCACTGTCGCTATGGTTACTGGTAAATACGGGCTTGACTCCCGTTGCACGTTCATACAGACATTCTAAACACAACTGTAAGCTGCTGTGTGAACAGGACATTTCGAGACTCACACCTGTAAAGAAAATGCGGTTGTCAATCCCAAAAATTGACAGTGTGAACGTAGCCTGTGTGTGATTCTGAGAGTGAATATGTCTGCATGTGTGAAAATCGGTATGTGTAGCTGTGTCCTATTCCCTAGTGCACTATATTTGCTATACCAACACTATATTGCAGTGTTGAGTTTTTAAAGATTTCATTCCATATATAATTCACTTTTTTTACTCCGCATAAAGTTTGTTATATATATATATATATACACTACCGTTTAAAAGTTGTAAAGTTTGTGAAAGAAATCTCTTATGCTTACCAAGGCTGCGTATATTTGATCAAAAATATAGTCTAAACCAGTGGTCACCAACCTTTTTAGGTCCAAGATCCCTGACCTCGGCCTTTATGAAAGACAAGACCTATTGAAGAATTGATAGAAAAGATATCCCAGATTGTGCTTCAAATTTGAGGCCTTTTACTTAGTATTTTAATTAGTGATGCGCCGGTCATAGCTGATTCAGAATTCAGATTTTCTTTTCTTTCTTTCTTTTTTTTTTTACTAGCAAATTGGATTCTGATACTGATTTTTAAGCAAATTTATTTATTGGCTATTTGCTTTATAACAAACAAACTGGCTTTAAACAAAAATATCTAGCCATTTGAGAGGCAACCACTGCATTTTAATCACGATCTGCACGGGCAGTTGTTTTTGATTTGATTTAGATTAATTTCAGGATTTAAAACAAAAACAGAATGGTCTGACTTTAGGTGTTATTTATTTATTTGCTACATAAAACATCTGCGCGAAACAACAGCAGGTCTGAATGAGACGCACTCTCTGCCAGCAGGTGGCACTAATGAACAGGGTTGCCAGGTTTTCGCAATAAAACTAGTCCAATCGCCATTCGAGGAGGGTTCCCTTGTAAAACAAAAAAAACAAAAACAAAATCACATTCCTGGGGTAAAATACACCTTTTTCAGCGGGGATATTCCAGTAAAATTCACATTCCAGGGACTAAATATCACGTTATTGGGGTCGCTTCAACCCGCGGACATGAACAACAACCCGCGGCTCGACTTAACTCAAAAATAGTGAGTTTGTCAAATCTGAGGGAAAAAAGCCAGAAGAGCCGAGGGGAAAAGAGAGAATGACGAGGTTTTTTTCCTTATTACAATTTTGAAATATAAAATCAAATTTACCTTTTTTTATTCTTCTATTCCATGGCTCCATAGACTGCAGCTTGAAAACCGTCATTTTCTGCCTCCAGATAGGCTCCGCCCACAAAAACCGTCACCCCTGTTTCGGATCTGTAAGACTATCTGACTCTCTAACGTCAATTTCGTTGAATAACAGTGCTTATCGCTGGGTGACAAGCTCTTGCATTATGCGTAGAACATTTTGAAAATGACATCTAATCAATGTAATTTATAATCTTTTTAAACCTAACTATTTTGTACCGTATCCGTGCGCGATCGACGGGTTGGCGACCACTGGTTTAGAGGAAACATGAAATAAGTTTAATGTTATAGATTATAAAGGTTTATATAATTAATTAAATCTGAAAGTTCGTCTAAAAGTTCCCCCAGTGAATTTTGGCCTTTTCCACCACTGACACTTACCATAGTTTAACCATGGTATTTTTTAGTAAAACTATGGTGTATACATATATTAGTCAATATGCTAAAAATAAAAAAACAAAACATGGTTACTATACTTTTACTATAGTAAAACCATGGTTAATTTTCGTAAGGAAAAGCTATCAATTATTAATGTAAACCACTATTATCAATCAACTATTAATTAAATATATTTTACGTTCTTAATTTTTTACATTTTTATAATGCCACCAGTTCACATTTACAACTCTGTTTGCAGCGTACAAACATGGGTTGATTTTCCCGTTGGTCCGATCAAAGACAGCAGCTCTGCCAGCAGGAGGCGCTTTTGAAGCGGCAGAAATAGAACCGTTTCCCCGGTAACAGCAGAACACAAAGCAGCGGCCTTTGAAACGTGCAGCGCTCGTGTTTATTCAATAGATTCATAGCCTTTTGAAATGTAATCGTCACATACAGCCATAATCGCAATTCTTGTCCCCAAATTTAAGACCTCTTAAAATCATAATTAAGACTTTCTTGTTCCATTGAAGACTTTTTATGGCCTTAAATTTGATACAACTAAATTTAAGACTTAAGACTTTTTAAGGACCCGCGGAAACCCTGATTAACAGATTAATAATTAAATAAAATAGAATCTGACATACTGTTTTAATGTGACATTCAAGAAAGGTTTGACTTTTACATTTTTAAAGGAGAAATTTAGCAATGAAACAACTAACAAATTTGTCTTCCATGAACACTTTCCAATTTATGTGCAAACAGTCTATGACCATTATCTACTTTAAACTTTTTGGGGGAAAAAAGAAGAAAAAAAAATCGTGAGATAAACCCTTAAACAACACACAGCAAAGAAAACTGACAAGTAACTGGATTGGAATAGGTTTATTTAATCTGTCTGTAAACAAGGTGGTGAAATTAATTTATGGCATTTCTCAGTTTATGCATATGAAATCAGACTGCATCCAAGATGTTTAAAAAATACAGGGAAAGAGAGAAATCAACTAGAGTCACCTGTACAAATAACCCACAAGGCCAGAGCTTCAGCTGATAGTAAAAACCCCTGAACAAAGACGCGACAGAATCATTCGGGAAGCTGTTTGATTCAATGACAACAGATTCTCTACGTTATGGCACAGGATACACATTATGATTTGAGTGTCATACTTGAACATTTGGACTTGATGAAACATCAAGTTTTGACAGACAGTTGTATCGCTGACGACTCGAAGGCAATTTAATCCACAGTCATGACAGTACGGGTTCAATTCAATTCAAGTGTTGACGTGAAGTCTGCGATCAGATGCTAGTGTTTTGTTGGTTAGCGTTTATGGTAGTGCGTAAATAACCCAGGAAGTGACAAAAATTGGTCAAACTATACTCCAAACCGCTGATACCCACTGTCTGAAATGGCAGTAATCTTGAAAATTAATCAATTAATGAATAAGCTAGCAAAGTAAGTGTGATGACGGAATGTCAATAAACATTCAATTGCGGGGTTGATGGGGGGGGGGGGGTGCTACCTGCAGACCAAAAAAATAAAATAAAAAAATCACAGTAAAGCCAACTAAACGAGGCCTCGACTCGAGACCTCTGGAAAAAAATATCAATCGGTATTTCAGAAAGTGTCGCGCTTACAGTTACTGTTGCAGCGCCAATGGCGGCAAACTTCAGGTTGAGAAAAAAAATAACAAAACAGAGGTTTGTTAGAGCAGACGCCATATTTAATTTGCCGAAAACACTAAATATGCCGTCCAGCCTAACTAGGGTTTATTTGGTAGGCTTGAAGATATGCATACAGTCGACCGTTCCCAGATTTGATCTAGGAATGGGAGTTTGAGTTTAGCTCAAGCCCTGGATAATCAACTAAACTCCCAAAAACGTTCACGAATAAGCAGAAACGAGACATGAAGTCTTCACGCTAGCATTTGGTCTGAAACGCGTCATGGGATCGCAGTGCCAAAATGGGGCCGAACACAATAAATGGACATTTATGGGAAAGAAACCGGGTTTGGGCAGCACGAAATGAAAGTAGAGTTGAAAACCAATAGACGATGAAGCAAATCTCATCTAGAAAGGTTAGCAGAATGAGCAGCTAGCATTGGGAGGCGTCTTAATATCCAGATTTCCTCAGGTATTCAGCCATGAGATACGCTTTCTTGTTGAGCAGCCCTCCATGGGTGCCTTCCTTGCCCATGACAATAACCATTGCTGGAGTACACAAGGAAAAACAAAAAAAACAAGAACAAAAATCAACAAACTTGAGGGGAAAAAGAAAAAAAGAAACGACTTTCCCAACTTAAAAAGGAATGCAATTGTTGACAAGATTCATTACCCTTCTTTGCCATTAAGACGTCCAAAAACGTTACATGTGTTTCAAGGGGGAAGGGGGGGGGGGTCTTCACAGCTTATTTTGGGAACGTGGGTGACTTGTTTTTTTTTTCTCCCTAAATTTCACTACTTGATCAAGAAAAAAAAAAAGCTAGAACCCTGAATCTCTCAAGTATTTTGCCATTGAATATGCCTTCTTATTCAAGCCGCCGCCGTGGACCCCTTCTTTGCCCATTACAAGAACCAAGACTGAAAGAAAAAGACAGAGAGATGAAGTTAAGAGGACAGGAAAATCCCAGCTCTGGGAAAAAGCCAAACCAAGATCAACGAGGCCAGATAGGACAGAATAAAAAGCAGAAAGATCGAGATAGCATGCATGCAGAGTGAAAGACTGCAGCCTAGAGGAAATACCATCATTTAGCTACAAATGCTAACACTATATAATAACTTTCACTGACGTTTTGCTTATTTTAAGAATAAAGCTTTGTTAGAGGCACTTCAACTCAGACACTGTAAATTCAACTTTGTATTTTGAGTTATGACTGAGTTACGGCTATTATTGTGGCATCATCAATTTCAGATTTACATACTCCAAAAAAAGAAGAAAAAAAAGTCTGTTTTTAGAACCATCAAGAGTTTTTTTGTCAATCAAACAATAATAATTACAATCATATATATATATATATATATATTTGACTCTTTGTCCTTATGTCCATTGTCCAATCATTGTCGACTAGGAGGCTGTCTCGGATAACTGAGCACTTCTTTGAACCTAAGGTCAGGCCGTTGGTGAAAAAACTTTCTCGGTCTTTCCCTACTAGGACGTCGATTTCTGTGGGCTGGTGTTAGAAAAAAAAAAAATATATATATATATTACATGTTGAACTGTAACTTCTTGTCTAGTCTTTTACATTTTAATATGGATTAATGAACAGCCAAAGGCAAATCAACAAATGCAGGCAGGCGGTTAGATGAGTATGATAAATTATCAGAGAGATCTATGCAGATAATTTTAGATAAACTAGATAGATACAATGTCATAGAGCGGTCATCATGCACTTTGAACATCAATGAGTCACTAAGAACACAACAAAAAACTAGATAACTTAAATATAGTAGGCTAGTCAGTTAAAACTAGCTGTTTTTGTGTGAAAAGACAAATTACCAGCTGTTGGAAACACCTGGCCCTGACAAGATTCTAACCTATTTATGTGCTGAAATCTGCCTGACAACTCAGTTTTGATTTAGTGTAGTGTCTTCAAAGCTGCAGTCACATCGGTGAAATATTGGCAAAATTTCGCAAACAAAAAAACAAAACAAAAAACCTACATTGTCATTAGTGATGCATGTAGCCGAACAAACACTTTCAAACCAAGAAGCTTTCTGTTGGTCAACAGCAAATTCACGTGACCAATTTGAACCCAATAACAAATTTGTGAGGAGAAATTTTGCTCCTATTGAAATGACTGGATTTTGCCCTCAAAATTTTGCTGAGCAACAATAAATGTGGTCTGCACCTTTACGGTGAGCAAATTTGTACAATTAAGTGGGCAAAAAAATGTCTATTGTCAATAGTGTAGTGATGTATGAAGTCATTTTCAAAACAAGCAGCTTTCGTGGCTAACTTGAACCCATTGGAAATCTGTGTAAGCAAATCTTTTTAGCCTTAATACACCTTAGCGTAAATACACCTTGATGTAAAATAAAATAAATAAATTACACAAAGTTTAAATAAAGTAAAAATCAGCAAACACTGTGGAACCAAATATATAAAGAAACAAATGTTTAAAAAAAACTTCCAAAATCACCTTAGATAAATGGTAGGCTTGCCGCGATAGACGGTGTTGACTGACATACCGGTGTTAAGCCGCAACACCGGTTACGTCACTTGCCCACCGCGTCACCGACCCCCACCGTCATTTAGATTTTTTATAGTTATAAAAATAATTTAGTTCAGTAAAAGAACAGACACTACAATTAAAAACTGAACGCGGCTGCTCAATGCAGCGTGCCGAACGACAGTCGCATTTGTCGCACTGTGTTGTACTTTATGTAGTATTGTACTGCAAGTTTACTTCAATTTTGAGATTAAATATTAAGTTATTTTAAGTTCATAAAATATTTAATTAAGTTAAGAATGTCAATGTTTCATTACAAAAGTTAAACATTTTATAAAAGTAAAATTATAAATAAAATATTTAATATATTTGTAACAAAAGCTTGAAAAAATATATAAAAACAAATAATTATAATACTTAATATAGTCTAGTATATAGTATTATACTATTTATATATTAAAAATGTATATATTTATAATATATAATGATTATAATATTTGTGATATAATATTAATATTACAATAAAATTTCAAATTTTTTGACCAGTATAAGCTACACACTGGATCAGATGTTATGCTAATCAAAAATATGCCTCTTAGATAATACTTAGTTAAATGATTGACGAAGGGTCGCTGAATTATTGAAAATTAATGCGCGTCTGGGGTGGTAATGCAGCACTAATTTATCATAAATTATCCCGCTTATAACATGATTACCAAAGATTTCCATGTTTTTCTCTAAATACATTACGTTTTTCATCCTATGTATGTACTACTTTCTTGCACATCTTGACCCTATGGAGATATTTCAAGTAAACTGTTTGCTATTTGTATCCTGTTGGCTTTTTCCTGGTTCTTTTGCTGTTGCAGGCCATAGGGCTTTTGGAAATAGCTGAAATAATTTGGCAAAGTGAACTGGAACTGTAATGCAGTTAATCACAGCTCAGCACCTTATAATGGCTGTCAGCCAATCAGAATGAAGCATTCAACAGCGCTGTCGTATGATGAACGTTACTATAATGTTACCATTTTGGTTCAGCAAAGACCAAACAATTAGCATATTCATTTGGAGATTTGGATTTAGAGCAAATGTTGATTAAGTGTTAGAGAAATGGATTGTAGCATGTGATTCATGCAATTCAAGCAGGAAAAGCAAGTTTAGTTCCTCTCCTCAATACATGCCATGAGCTATATGAAAGAGATTGCTTCATAAAGGAGCACTTTCTTTCAGGAAACAGGAAATCCTCTCACATTTTACAGAGCGACAGACCCCAGATGTGTGTGAGAGTAGCAGAAACATGCATATGAGAGGGAATGTACCTCAACAGGTCCCGCAAACTTCCTGAACACCTGAGCTCAAGTCTCGTGATCAACCGAGACTCTCTAAAATAACTAGCTAGTTAATGAAACGCTGCTTTTATTTGCAAATATTGTGTAGAAGACCCACACTGGTAAAAGCAAGATTCTTAAAGAAATGCTTAAGGCATATTTTCCCCACCACAGTTAAAAATAAATATGCCTAATGTGTTTCTGTCAGACTCCGGTGTTATATAGGAAAGATATATTGAGGAAAGGTTGACATCTGCATTATTATTCATCTATTAATACTAAAAAAAAATTTTTTTTAAAATGGAAGTTTTACTGATAAAAGATATTTGTGAGAAACATAAGTTCTTAGACTAGTACCTTTGGCTGCTTTGCCGACAGTGATGTTGTACGTGGCTTCTCCTCCTTGACTCTTTGTCCTTATGTCCATTGTCCAATCATTGTCGACTAGGAGGCTGTCTCGGATAACTGAGCACTTCTTTGAACCTAAGGTCAGGCCGTTGGTGAAAAAACCTTCGCCGTTTATCTAAGGTGATTTTTAAACATTCGTTTCTTATTTAATTGGTTCCACAGTGTTTGCTGATTTTCACTTTATTTTTAAACTTTGTGTCATTTATTTATTTTATTTGACATCAAGGTGAACGCCATGCCTCCAAGCTTTCTTATTCGTTTTGCTAATAAACGTTCTTCATTTCTTATTTATTTGGTTATATATTATACATGTTTACTCATTTCCAGTTTTGTATACCCATTTAAAGGGGTCATATGATGTGATTTCAATTTTTCCTTTCTCTTTGAAGCGTTACACGCTCTTGGTGCATAAAGAAGATCTGTAAAGTTGCAAAGACTAAAGTCTCAAATCCAAAGAGATAACACAAAATAATGTTCTTTTTAGCAACATCATATGACCCCTTTAAAAGCGAAGGAAAGCGAGGAAAAGAGGAAACGGCCCTGCCCCCACAGCGATACCGGTATCATCGGTGTTGTCACACGTCGATTAACCGGTGGGAAAATTTCCTCACCGTCATAACCCTAATAAATGGCAAAAGTCAACAGGCTTTTCAAAATCCATAATATTGCCAAACAGGCACTTTTGCATTTCGTTTCGAAACTAAATCTTCCGCCATGGTCTTGTTGGTCAGCTCGACTCACTCTCCTCACGTGATAAATGAAATCCTACCCAGCTGCTGATCTGTGATGCGACTGTCATTAGCCGGGTTTCCATCCAAAGTTG